GGTACTCCACCCGGTAGAGGATTGACTGTTCAAAAGAGACACCGCGCTCCCCCAGAAATTACGGGCTCAGATTCCAACCAGTCTACACCTCGATTAAAACCTCGAAAGAACCACACGAATGGCATTTCGGTGGACGGTCTTTCTGTCAGCGGTTTTGCCGTGAAGCCATCCAAACAGTACGGAAGTCGTAAATATTGAGAATGAATTGATCACGTGACAATTATTAGCCGCCATCTTGAATACTCCAGTTTCGAGTTCTCTTTTGTGAAAGCTTAGCTTCAATTAAACATTAACTTTTATTGCCTTCTTTGTACACAGAGTGCTTGCATAAAATAGATTCTCTATTCAATAAAAGAATGTATTACATAATTTCGAGGTTAAGGCTGCACAAGGCTGCTCGAAACTGGAGTATTCCATTCTTTCTTCAAAGTCACGCCTCATCGTTAAATAGCATTGCGTGACCATAAAGTGCATGGGCAATAATTTACCCTTCATTAACCCCACCCCTGCGAAAAGCATCAAAATTATGACATCAAACAATATCAGCTCAGGTATAAGCTATTGTTTGCAGTGCGTGACTGTGTCACACAATAGTCCGTGACCTTTTTTATAAAAATTGTTATGACGTCATATTTATCGACATCAGGTGTCCGTTGTACAAGGTTGGATATCGTTATCTACAGGATAAATCCATTGCTGGTTTTCAGGTCACGTCACAGCAGCCATTCTTGGAGGAACTTCAACAAARGATTTCTCATTAGTATCTATTGCTTATTCGCGCCAACATGGCCGACGTTCCTTTGTTGTTTGAATCACATGGGAATGATTGAAAACCAGCAATGGAGTGAATCACTTTATCCACCCTTCGCACAAGGCGCCTTCACCTTATTTRTCATTGTGGTAAAATTGAACCGACATATCGACCGACAACCAACAAAGCCCGATATAAAGTGAACAATTCATTGCATATTGACTCGTTCACACTGGTAGTAGGGCAAAAATCTTTTTTTTTTTTTTTTAAATAAAGGAGTTTGGACCTACTTCCTACAGGGGCACCCAACCCCATGTAAATAGAGCCTGAGACGCTTTGTAAACGATTAGACTGAAAACGGCTCTCATGTCTTTGATAGMATCAGTAATATGTTATATACGATCATTAAGGCCGAATTAGGCGGTACAACTTTTGCCTACAATCATCACATGCAACATTCCCAGTTATCCTTAAGACATGGGTCTTTTCTGAGATAGCAGTTTATAATGTATTGTGGTCTAGATTTGGTACAAACATCTTTTGTTCATGCTGCCAAATATGGCTTTGTTTATACTGAAGCTAGACCACAATGCACTATGATTTTGTATTTCAGAAAAGGTATGTGACTACAAGTGTGTCGTAGGGGTATAAAACATTCATTCTGAATCATTCCTTAAGACAGTTTTAGCCATGGGCAGCTTACAAGCGATGTCTGTTGGTTAAAGTTTTGCCGTCTATTTCGGCCTCTACTATAGTTATGTTAGTTATAAGCTTGTACAGTATTTAAAKATATATATGTTGTTTCAAAGACGGCCCAATCCATGTATAATATTTTTAACAATTGGATCATTGTATAGCTTGGAGGTCGATGCCTCCGTATGTTATTATATTTACACAATTGTAAAATAAGAATAAACATCAATTTATCCAGATATAAGGGTAGGAGAGTTGATTGATTTTGTTATGCCCGTGCTGACTCGTACCCAGTCATTACGCTTTATTTTCCGATTCGCTCGAAGGGGTTGATGGTCGTCCTTCCCTTCATGCATTGCGCGCCGCTCGAGAGAAGAGACTGGGTACAAGTCTGATGCCCGTTGCATGATTAGAGTAAACGCATATAATCCGTGAAATTGTCCAAAATCAAAAGAGCACAAAATTGCACTAGATCTGTCACTGAAGCAGAACTGCATAGATCCGACAAATCAAGCGCGAGCGTGCGATTATCCAATCAGAAGAAAGCGCGGGAATCGAACACCGCGCTTGTTCCACAAATGACCCACAAATGCATTCGATTTTTTGTAAATGACATTCTTCGGACGATTTGTCGATAGAATTTCCGATAAATTTTCTGTTTCTTTTGATAAAAACAATCTGAAGTCAATTTGAAAAAGGCCTAGAGAAATGATTTAATTATTTTTTATGAGTTTTACTTTGAGCACTTCGTGCTTTTTCCGTACATTTTGACCCAATTCAAGCATTTTTCTAGGCTAGTTTTTGTCTTGGGAATCAAAATAAATCGTCCTCCATTTCATCTGGCTGGCTAGCGCTCATCTGCTTTACAAGTGCCCCAGCAACATCTCAAAACCATCTCAACTTCGTCCTCCGAACCGACTTATTTACATTTTTTGTGGGACAACATGGCTGCCATTACGTGTCCTCTATTTTGATTGGCCAATCCAGCGCGCGCAGATAACGAGTTTGATTTGTCGGAACTATGTATCACCATTGTTCTTTAAGGAATACCATTTTTGTAATGCAATGAGGTTAATTTAAGGTTGAAGGAGGAGAAGCTTTTTCTCGTACTCCACCCTCCCCTTCCGTTTTCCCCCCAGGGAGTTGTTACGGGATTTCATTTGACCGATGCATATAATAAAAAAAGTTTCATTGTTGCATGTTTCCATTGTGATAAAGACGTTTATTCAATACTGCCACAAAGTGAAAGTTGTCAACTACACAAGTTTGGCTACACGATATAGTTACTTCACGAATTAAATTTAAAATCTTCAGCTAGCTGATTCTGGTTGACTGCCGGTATCTAAAACAAAATAAAAACGATATACAGTTGACTCTCTTTGAACGACCACTTTCGTAAGCGACCATATCCCGTAAGCGACCACCTTTTAAATTTCCCGTTATAATTGTTTCCCATATAAACTTTGCAAAAAAACTCTCTCGTAAGCGACCACTTTTTCCTGATCCCGAGGTGGTCGCTTACGAGAGAGTTGACTGTATTATGAAGTGTCATCCCAGACTCGTACCCAGTCGTTACTCCTCTTCTTTCTCTGTCGCCCGCAAAGGACCAAGGGAAGTTCCGTAACAACGCGACCCGTAAAACGAGAAAGAGAAACGACTCAGCTGCGATTCTGGTCTCATCCAAGCTGCCTTAATACTGCGACGATGACACTTGCATGTACGAGAACGCTGGTATTTATTTCATCTTTTCTGGTCGACGATGAAATAGCTGGGTACACATGTTCCTCCGTGATGCTTTTTCCATCCCAACAAACAAACTAACTTAACCTGGATACAACATTTTCCCTCCGAAATCTGGTTCCTACCTGTATTAACACAGACCGCAAGTTGCCTTACAATTCTTTTTCATTTCATCGCTTCTACATCCTTTACTAAACCATTGCATTATTTGACACCTCCCACCTTTGTATAAGTTTCTACAATATCGCTTTTCTGGGTCCTCCGAGTCTTGGTATCCTTTAATTGTCTTTCCCTCTTCCTCTATTGCTAGTTGCGTTAGCTCTTTGATGAGCTTTTTCACGTGCTTCTCGCGTGCCTTTTGCAGTCTCTCTTCGTTATGGCTCTCTAGAAATAAAATCCATTGTATAAATGTTGTTTTTTGTGCCGGTCTTTCTGTTATGTTATCTTCGGACTCAGGGACAGAAGTAGACACATTGGACCATTAGGATAGTCCTATAATACGGTGATATATAGTAGTATATATAACCTTAAAGTAATATATAAAATATGAGCGGGAGACCTTTATAAAGGGCAATTAAAACTGCGAGCTGCGAGCGAGCACTTTTATAGCCCATAAAGGTCGGACGCGAATATTTTATATTGCGTATCAAATTCCAACATAAGGTAAAGCATATTTCTAAAAGGACTCCAGGATAAAATATCATTTGTATGAGAAAATCGAAGTTAAAGTCGTATGCAAATCAGGACAAATCTCTTGCTCATATAAAGATGCGGTCACGGCAATGATTTTCCATTGTGTTTACCTTATGAATTATTAATGAATTTGATAATTAAAGAGAGTTAATTTGCCCGTTACACTATCTGGGAATCCGTTTCGCCTCAGTAAGAGAATCCAGCGGATTCCAAGCTCTGGATGCCGACGAAAGATTGGATTCCAGATTCCAAAGCCTTGAGATTCCGGATTCCAAATAAGTTTTGTTTTTAGATTCCGGATGTGTTTTATGGATTTCAACATTTTTGGTTTTATTCTGGATACATGAAGCGAATCCGTTACCTTGTCGAATGGAAGCCTTCACGGCGACAATACACACAACCACCACCAGTAGAATACGCAATGACGTCATGTTATCTATGAAAAAAGAATATCGTAAGTTTTTTTTCTCCTTCCTTACATGCAGACCGGTCTCAACCTCGTTCCCAGGGCCTGACCCCAAGCGAAGGGATAAGGCCCTGGGAACGAGGTTGGACCGGTCTGTGTTAGAACCTGTTTACATGATGTATAGTTTGTCCCTAGCTGGATAAGGTTAATTCTCTTTTGTCTATGAAACGAAAACAATCGCGATAGTCTCTTCTACCTACAAGCACTCTAGTCAGATCTCGAGCTCGAGTATCGTTCACGAGTCCGAGTTGTCTAATCATTTTTGTATCCAACATACTATAGGAAAAATTTGAAAAAAATTTAAATGAAATGAAATGAAATTTAAATGAATGATTTAATGTATTCAATGAAACAGGTTCTACATGGATCTGTCAACCAATCATAACGCACTTGACTGAATTAATTAATGGAAGCGTTTTTGTGATC